AGAGCCTTCTCTGTTGGAGCCCCCACCCTCTGGAACGAGCTGCCCCCAGAGATCCGGGTGATTCCGGATCTCCCCTCCTTCCGCCGCGCCCTCAAGACATGGCTGTTTCAGCTGGCAGGACTGGCCTAGGGATATTTTAAATTGGATTTTAATCAACTTTTAAAATAAGAAAAGGCCTATTTAAATATATCTTTTAATTGATTTTAAATTTTGTATATTTGTATCAATTGTTTTGTTTTAACTGGCTGTAAGCCGCCCTGAGTCCACCAGGAGAAGGGCGGGATATAAATACAATAAACTTCAACTTCAAACTTCAAACTTCCTTTTCTCTTTCCTCTTTTTCTCTCTTTCCTCTCCCCTTTCTTTCTCTTTCTTTCCTCTCTCTTCCCTCTTTCCTCTCTTTTTCTCTGTCTCTTTCTCTTTCCCTCTTTCCTCTCTCTTTCTCTTTCCTCTTTCTCTCTTTCCTCTTTCCTTTCTCTTTCCTCTCTCTTTCTCTTCTCTTTCCTCTCTCTCTTTTCTCAATCTTTTTTCTCTTTCCTCTCCCCCTCTTTCTTTCTCTTTCCTCTCTTTCCTCTCCCCCCTTTCCTCTCCCTTTCTCTCTTTCTCTTTCCTCTCTCTTCTTTCCTCTTTTTCTCTCTTTCCTCTCCCTTTCTTTCTTTCTTTCTCTTTCTTTCTCTTTCTTTCCTCTCTCCCTCTTTCCTCTCTTTTTCTCTTTCTCTGTCTCTTTCTCTTTCCCTCTTTCCTCTTTCTCTTTCCTCTTTCTCTCTTTCCTCTCTTTCTCTTCCTTTCCTCTTTCTCTCCCTCCCTCTCCCTCCAGGTTAGGAGAGAGAGAGAATGAAAGGCAGACAGCGCCGAACGGACAGGGAAGGGGAGGGGGAGCAGGATGGGAGGCAGCGCCTACCGGCCGCCGTCCCCATCGCCTCCCCAGCCGAACGGGCGGGCATGGGGAGCAGGACGGCAGGCAGCGCCTCCCGGCCGCCGTCCCCATCGCCTCCCCAGCCGAACGGGCGGGCATGGGGAGGACGGCAGGCAGCGACTCCCGGCCGCCGTCCCCATCACCTCCCCAGCTGAACGGGCGGGCATGGGGAGGATGGCAGGCAGCGCCTCCCGGCCGCCGTCCCCATCGCCTCCCCAGCCGAACGGGCGGGCATGGGGAGCAGGACGGCAGGCAGCGCCTCCCGGCCGCCGTCCCCATCGCCTCCCCAGCCGAACGGGCGGGCATGGGGAGCAGTACGGGAGGCAGCAGCTCCCGCCCACCGCCCCCATCGCCTCCCCAGCCAAACGGGTGGGGAGGGGGAGCAGGACGGGAGGCAGCAGCTCCCGGCCGCCGTCCCCATCGCCTCCTCAGACGAACGGGCGGGCATGGGGAGGACGGGAGCCGCTGCCCTCGCCGCATCCTCAGCCGAACAGCCGGGGAGGGGGAGCAAGACGGGAGGTAGCGGCTCTGCCGGCAGCCACTGCAGCATCGTCGGGGTCCCTGCCCCCGGCCC